CTGATCATTTATGTATACATTTGTCTATATCTATCTCGATTCGTTTTGGCTGTTACAAACAACCGTTATGTGAACAAAATTAATATACCCTTGTGCACAAGTGCGCTCGGGTATAATAAAAAAAATGTTAACAAGCCACAATAACATTGACAATCATGGCAGTTGCTAGAATAACATTGTCAGACGACGAATTGTGCATGTGTGTGTGCACTGCGGCTTCGCGTGATGGTGGAGGATTTGTTGTCTGTTGGGCTGATGTGGACCCGCGGTGGAGTAAGCTGTGGTGCTGCTTTGAGCAAACCTTACATCTGTGGGTTGATGGGCATTGAGCCATTTGATGTCCTTTAGACAGGCAATTGATGCAAAGTCCCATTTTCTTCGCTTGGTCGAATCGCTGGGTGATGTTGTAAGACTTAAAACGATCGCAATTAGAAATTTTATGGTTTGTGNTTGTTGGGCTGATGTGGACCCGCGATGGAATAAGCTGTGGTGCTGCTTTGAGCAAACCTTACATCTGTGGGTTGATGGGCATTGAGCCATTTGATGTCCTTTAGACAGGCAATTGATGCAAAGTCCCATTTCCTTCGCTTGGTCGAATCGCTGGGTGATGTTGTAAGATTTAAAACGATCGCAATTAGAAATTGCTTGAGCAAATAGAGCACGGCGTATCGGAGCAGGTAAATTAATATCCCTTTGGCTGATTATTTACCTTACTTGATGCAGCTTTGCTGTTACCTGGAAAAACTGATGATCCTGTGTGGGTAGATTCCATTGACTCCAAATATTGGCAATGCCTTTCCAGCATCTTCACACAGTCGCCCCACGTCTGCAGCGTCTTAAAATCGAAAGATTCTTTCCACTTTTTATTGGTTTGTTCATTCGATTTCTGAAGCACAAAACAAATGGGCATGGCTTGGGAGATTTGCCTATCATTACACAACGAGAGAAGTGAACCGTAAATGGCAGAAGTCTTGTCGATAAGACTTCTCAATTGTAATGCGTTTGGTTTCGAAACCGCTGGTAACTCGAATAAAGAAGAGATATTTTCCAAAAAAAATTTAAGTTTTATTGTCGTACCTTTCTCTCAGCGGTTCCAATGGTTTAGGGTAATTTTCATTGGTCACCTGGAATGCATCGAAGGTTTCTAACGCCTGACCTTGAAGCGAGTTTCGCAAATGATTAAATTTCTTGATGTTTGAAAGACTAAATTCTTTATCAATTATCTGTTTAAAAGATGTAATAAAATTCTGGTACTCAAAATACTTGCCGCTAAACGTTGGGAGTTTGAGCTTTGGTAATATAGTGCTGTGCTGCACAATGCAGCTTGTTTCCGGAAGCGAAATATTATGATCCTCCACTACCTCTGTTTGAATCGTTAATTTTGTAGTGACGTACAATTCCTAAAGGTCCGCGGGTCGGCGTGTGAAATAATACAAATTTGCTTTATTTCATTTCACGTTGAGCAATAAGACCAACTTTTAAACTTAACAATTTGAGTAATAAAGCAAAATAGTGCACATATGTTGGTAGTCACCCAGTTACATTTGACAAAAAGTAGTACATGAACAAGTTAAATGGACGGCTTTGTATGTATACAATTTTCAAAGTGCCTAGCGTCGCGCCGCCCCGCCCAGCGCCACGCCGCGTTCGACGTCGCGCTCGCGTCCCCCGTCCCCTCCCCTCCTTTCGCAATTATGCACTGCTGGCATTATGACCGTTTAGAAAAAAGAATAATAATAAAATGACACTATTTCACTTCTGAAACTGCTTTTTAATGTCCAAGTAATGGGAATTATTGCGTATGGTGGTATTGCATGCACCCCACCCATGGTGGAATTATACCAGGTGAAGTAATATTAGAGTGAGAAGAAATATTTTGCCACTGCCTTATTTGAAAACATGCCTATAAAATGTGATTATAAGACAATCGAATGTCAGAAAATAAAGCGAGAAAGCTGTTTATTACTTCACCTGTTTATTGCGCCATTCATCCCACCTGCTTGTACCGAGTATACATACGTTCAAATTTAGAAGTCTGAGAGTAGGTAAAATTTTAATATATTTTTACATTACTATTTCGTACCGCATGTTCGCTTCGTCTTCGTCTTCGCTTCGAAATCCACATTTCGGATATAGTGAAACAAGTGATGATAATGCAAAAATTTTAACTGAAGATGAAACTCAAAACAATATTCTCTGTGTTATATGCTGCGAACAGGAACGCATGCCATGGCGGAATTATACCAGGTGAAGTAATTAGAGCGAGAAGAAGGATTTTGACACTGCCTTATTTGAAAAATTGCCTTTAAAATTTGACTATAAGACAGCCGAATGACATAAAATAAAGCGAGAAAGCTGTTTTATAACTTCACGTGTTTATTGCGCCGTGGTTCCATGCAAACATTTTAAGGTTTTCCAGCAATGTTTTCAACACATTTAAAAAAGTGTGCAGATAAAGTTCACGCAAAAGCGCTATGTCCAATTTGCTGAGCAGTTATTAAAGACGACTCTTTTCCTATATTTTGTTAGACTTTTCATAAGTAAAAATATTTTGTGAATATTACTTTCTTCATAAGTATGAATTATATCACATTTTTTATTTAACTGTATTTTTTGAATAAACAAAGTTCTTTTTCCTTCTGGTCACTAAACTGTTACAAATAGTATAAATAAGCAATGGGAAATAAGGCAAAATTTGTTTTTTTCCAACCTTTGTTGGAAATAAAGCAAAACTCAGATTTTGGTATTATTTCCCATTTAAAAGTGAAATAAAGCAAATTTTGCGTTATTGCCGTTTGTGTTATTTGGGGCTGTTATTGAGGGATTACTTACGTGTAGTCGCGAAAGGGAAATGTTTTGCGACAGTGGCAATGGCAAGCTAGGAAAAAGAGTGGTCAAAACCAAGGTGCATACATATATACGTGTGTGGCGATATGTGCGCCTTTTGGTGCAGTGGAACCAACGACAGCGGCGAATCAAAGTAATGATAGCGAGGGTGATGATGACTGGAAGGCAGCAGTGTTCGAGAGCGATGTGTGTGCTGAGCTGGAGAGACGGCCGTAAGCGATGGTAAGCGAGCGAAGAGGTAGCAGAGACGACGACTATTCAAAAGCGGCTGAAGATAAGAATCTATGAGTGTCAATAATAGTTCTTGTATCCAGCGGCCAAGTAGCTTGGAGATAATGACGTAGCCGTGAGGGAAATTGATGGTGCCCACGTTGGGCGCCAAAAAATATAGGATTACAAAGCCTTTTTTGTAACCGCGCAAAAACCAAAGTAGCGAACGGTCGAACGACACAGGGAACGGGCCAAGCAGAAACGATGGACAGATGTAAACGCCTTGGTGGTCAGCTGTTAGACTAACTTTATTTCACAAATTCTTCTCCTTAAGTAATTTCCAACTAATACATAACTTCCGATAGATATCTCAATACAATCGTATCTTCTAATATTTGCTAATACACAAATTTATGTATGTACTCTAATACTTCATAGAGGTGGATGATCCTAACACTATTCTTAATATACATATATGTACATACATCAGAGACAAACACAAAAGGAATAGAAACAAGTAAGAAAGTCTAAGTGCAGGCGGAGCCGAACGTTAAATACCCGGCGCAAGTATTAAATATTTATATGTTTTCCACCTTTCCGAAAACTACCGCTACATGGTTTTGCACACATCTTCGATAGAACGTTCAGTTAGACATAATGAGATAAACTTATTTAGGTAGATGTGGGCGGCATAACGCCCATTTTTCAAAGTTCCAAACAATGTTACTTCTTTTCAAGGGATTGTTTTTAGTATCAATTTTGAGTAAATTAGCGTCCTTAAATTTCGAAATATTGAAGTTTCAAGCATATCTGAAATTTACTGTTATATGAAAAGCGGCCGTAATTTTAGTCCCATTTCAATAATTTTCGACGTTTTGCTTTTATGTGGCAAGCACAACCGAGTTTGGTACAACGGTTACCGAGATACATATATGTGATCATAACTGGGCGGTTCCACGCCCATTTTGTATTGTAAAATTGTATCAGAAATGTATTTCTTGGTAAGGAAATGTTGCAAGTATCAAATTTGAATAAATTAGCTAAAATATTTACTGATTTATCTGATATTTCATATTTCTCTAAATTACCGTTATATGGGATGTGGGCGTGGTGATTGTCCGATTTAAAAAATTTTCGGCCATTTGGTACGTTGTACCAAGGCCAACAACTGTGCCAAGTTTGGAAGAAATTGGTGCAGCGGTTACTAAGATATACACATGTAACCATAAGTGGGCGTGGCTACGCCCATTTTCTAAAAATTTTTAATATTCTTATTTTTCGTCTACAAATTATTGTAAGTGTCAATTTTGAGTGAATAATCTTCAATAGTTACTAAAATATCGCAGTTTTCATATTTCTGAAAATTACCAGATATTGTCCGATTTTGCACATTTTCAATACCATCCGTCCTACGCCCGAAAAAAGTGCACGTACCAAGTTTCGTTAAGATATCTCAATTTTTACTCGAGTTATCGTGTGCACAGACGGACGGACAGACGGACGGACAGACAGTCACCGCTTAATCGATTTCTTTTTTCATGCTGATCATCTATGTACATTTGTCTATATCTATCTCGATTCGTTTTGGCTGTTACAAACAACCGTTATGTGAACAAAGTTATAATACCCTTGTGCACAAGTGCGCTCGGGTATAAAAATGGGAATGCAGCATTGCAGCAGGCATTACATTAGAGTGGTCCAAAATAATAAAGTCGGAATTTTAATGCCGCCACCCCCTATGATTGTTCTGAACCGAAAATGAATATACCCCTATTTTTTTATTTTGAAACCAAAAAATATTTAGGGAGTGCTCACAGCGCTCAAAGTTTTCCATGTATTTTGTATGGGGAAAAAACAACGTTTCGTAGAGCGCTTTGAGCACTCCTTAAATTTTTTTCTATTTCAAAATAAAAAAATAGGGGTATATTTTTTTTTTTGGTATAGAACTATCCAGGGGCTGGCGGCATTAAAAATGCGACCTTATTTTTTTTACATACATTTTTGGACCACTTTAAGGTACATACGTGTGTATAAGAAAATACAAACACTAATTTTATCTGCATTGGGGTGAATGACATACTTATACCTGGCCTTGGCTATATATTAGGTATAATATACCTAATATATATATATTATATATTATATATTTTATTATTTATTATATTATATATTTTATATTATAATAAAATATATGACACAGACATAACTATCATATGATTGACGAATGCAGTGGTTCCGTATCAGTGGCCCAACACAAACAGTAAAAAATGCTACTAGGTAAAATTACATACATGAATTTTCGAAATTTGGAAAAAGGATTTGGCTGCTATACTGAGATTTTTGGATTCTGAAAACTTGTTTTCTCGAGAACACGAATTGATCTAGTAAATCTGAGTATTAGGCATTGTTCGTATGGCCAACAGTCATCAAACCTGATATATGCGCGCTCTAGGTTTTTTTTGTAATCCACAGTGTTATATTTAAATGTGAAAGTTTGTGAGTGTGTTTGTGTGTACCTCTTTCACGCTAAAATGGCTGGACGTATTTCAATGAAATTTTGCACATTTATAAGCTAAGATCTGGATTGACACATAGGATATTTTTTGAAGGGGTTTTGCTACTTTTTTCAAAAGTTAAAATCAACTATTTATAAAAAATAGATACAATTTTACAACAATATGGGTGTCAAACAAAAGCAGTTTAAAAACGATTTGTTTCAAAAATATATTTGAAGAGAGTTGCCACCTTTTCATAAACTTAAAATCCATTTAATTAACTATTTAAATGAAATATTTTAGTATGGGTACCAAATGAGAAAGGTTAAAGACAAATTTATTTCTAAATATTTATAAAGAGGGTTGCCACCTTTTAAGAAATTCAAATACAATTTACTTTAAAGGTTAAACGAAATGTTCCAATATGGATATCAAACGAGAGAGAGTTAAGAAAGCTTTCTTTCGAAAATATTTTTGAAGAGAGTTGCCACCCGCTTAGAAATTTAAAATCGTTTTAGTCAAACCTATTTATCTATATATATAATAGCCTATTTACACCAAAAGCTTGAGTGCAGTTAAGTGTTCAGGCTAGCTCCAAGAATTTTAACAAGGGGTGATCGGTTTATTTCTTACTTTTTGCTTTTCCGTTTGCCTGTACTTAATATGAGCAATTATTCTTCGCGAGTTGTAATCTTCTTTTTCTAATATGCATAAACTGGATTTAAGTATTGGTGGAAATGAACTATAAAAGTTTGTGAGTTAGTCAGTTTATATCGAGCCCTAACCGCCAAAATAACGCAAGCGACACTTTTTTCAAAATTTTATTTTTGATGCAGAAATATTCCTAGAGCATCTAGATGCATTTCTGCATCAAAAAGAAAATTTTGAAAAAAATGTCGCTTACGTTATTTTGGCGGTTAGGGCTCGATATGTTTGTTGCAATTTGGCACACTTATAGACATGACCTGGATTAACAAACAAGATATTTTTATGGAGGGGGTTGCCATTTTTTCTGAAGTTAAAATCAACTATTTGTTAAGTTAATAATAATAATATCCCAACGGTTTTTACCCTCCATTCCCGCCCATCCGCACGAGGGGCGCAGTCCGCATGACGTACGGAACCAGTATTTTCAATTTTTGCGCCGAGTCACGATAGGCAGGAGTTTGTTAAGTGTCGAGATCTAAAACTGTTCAGCTACAGAACTAAATTCATCAGCCGATTTTATGTCTTTATTTTAATGATTCATCTATTGAGAGAGGACAGTATCGATTTCTTAACCCTTTCACTACTAATGTCCACTGCGGTGGACATGACTTTGCAAGAGCGGTTATTTTAAATTTGAAGTTTTTTAGCATTAATTTTGGTGAAAACGGAACGAACGGTATATTGCGAGTATAGAAGTGCAATTTCTGCAAAATGTATTTTATTTTTGCCAGTAATGTACCGACTTTTGAAGAAGAAGGTTGTAAAATATTATTTGGCTTGTTTATTCGAAAGTGTTTGTAAATAATTGTGTAAACGGTGCTTTTTCGCTTAATTTTTGCTCATTGAATGAGTGTAAGCAGAAGTAGATCGAATTTCAGGTAAGTGTTTTAGGCACCAAAAACCAGATGTCCTTTGTAATGGACATGAGTAGTAAAGAGTTGTAAATTATGAGTAAATAACATGGCTTTCCACGCATAGGGAATCATGCATAGACGCAAAGCGTTGACTGAAAACCAAATGTTAGACCTTCTGAAAGAGTTTTCAGATCTCGACGATGAATCGGGAGGTGATGAAATCGATTCAGTGGGATTTACTAGTAAGAAGCGAATTGAAGATGAGGGAGGCTTAAAATTACGACACCAGTACTGAGGAAAATGTGGAGGGACGTGATAAATGAACTTCCACCAGCTGTTCGTGCACACATTACGACTTTTTCAACACCGTCATCAACAAAGAGCGAAGAAAATGTTGCACAAAATTCATATTTCTCCGTCAGAGTATTGCGTTCAATAGCAGGTGAGAGAGTAAGCACACTAATAGAAGCAGCCAGTGTTGCCAACTTTTGATTTTCAAAAAGCACCAAAAACTTGGAAAAAAGCGTTTTACCACACTAAAAGCACCAAATAGTTTTAAATCAATTGATGCTTTTTTCATAACAGTTTGTATGTATTTAACAAAAACAAAAAATTAACAATATTTACAAGAATGCATACATAAATCAATAAACAAAACTTTTTCGCTCATAACGATTGAAAAGCCACATATGCTATAATGACTCATGGTTACGACGTAATACCGAAGTACTGCACATTAAAACTGACATATCTCAAGAAAGAAAAATCGAATCCCAACAAACGAAAATCATGCCCTAGGTAGAAATGAGGAAAAAAAATTTTGTTTTCATTATATAACCTCAAATATCGCCAAAAACCGTGATTTTGGCACTTTGAGGTTAGGATATCTCAAAATTCTAGTGTTAGAGCAATTGTGCGGCACCAAGAAACCATGTGTTTTACTCAGGTGGTACAAAAATAAAAATTTTTATAAATAATTAGAAAAGAATAAAAGAAATACTTTACTTACTCGCATATCTACTAGCATTTTCAACGCGAATATAATTGAACAACGTGAATTTCAAGCTTTTCAGCTTTCAGTTCAGCTTTTTATCAATCATGGTTGTATTTAAGTGCATTTAAATTTGTAGATTTTTGTAAATTCAGTGCTGCCACAGCTTTAAATATTTGAAAATTATTTCAGGTTTTAACTATATCGGAGTAATTTTAGTTCAGAAAAAAAGCACTAAAAAAGGCACTAGGCACTAAATGATTTTTTTTGGCGTTTTACCGCCCTATTCCCACAACACTGACAAAATTCATCATATGACTATTGTCGCAATTACTGCGCCTAAAACACAATATAAACATTGTTTCGCCGTTGTCGCTTACTCAGTAGGTCATAACAATAAAACTGACAATTGTCATACGACAGTTTAAAATAAATTTGCGGCATAGTATTAGGCGCAGTAGTAAAGGCAATAGTCAGCCGCTGAGTTTTGTCAGTGGTGTGGGAATAGGGCGGTTAATTTTCAAAAAGCACTAAATCGAGTGCTTAAAGCACGAAGTTGGCAACTATGGAAGCAGCAGAAGGAAACTATGATTTGTCAAATATTACTGAGAAAATCAATGTTCAGTGGCGCCATTCCCGCAGTAATGAACGAATTGCTGATTTTTTGTTTGTTCCGCCTTTACAGTTGCCTACAGCAGTCAAAAGTGAATACGAATATTTTCAAAAATATTTACCACCCCAATTTTTTGAAGATGTTTCCAATTTCACTAATATGTATAGTGTGCAGAAAGAATCAAATTTTCGGCCCACTAGTCCAAGAGAAATTCGGCAATTCTACGCTTTACATTTTATGATGGGTATATTGAAGTTTCCACGGGTAGCAATGTTCTGGGAGAAAGGTACAACATTGCCCATTTTCACTAGTAATATGACACGAAATCGTTTTTATGCGCTACGAACACATTTGCATTTAGTGGATACTTATCTGCCCCCAAAAAACAATGAAAAACTTCATCGAGTGAGACCAATTATGGATGCGATTCGGAAGCGATTATTGGAGCACCAGTTGGAGGAAACCCTTTGCGTTGAAAAACAGATTATACAATTTACAGGGCACATGGGAATGAAGCAGTATATACGTGGTAAACCTTGTCCATGGGGAATAAAACTCTATGTGCTTTGTGGAAAAAGTGGAATGTTGTATGATTTCATTGCTTATCAGGGCTCATCCACTGAAATTGAACCAAGCCTTATCAACAAACATGGTTTTAATGCTTCCATCACATTACAGCTGCTAAAAAGAGTGCCCCAAGATTCAACTGGTCACCAAGTTTACACAGATAATTTCTTCACCACGTATTCTCTACTTGAAATTTTGGAGAAAAGGAAAATTCTAGCAGCTGGCACAATTCGTATAAACCGCTTTCGGAACCCACCACTCTCCACAGATGCTGTAATGTGAAAGAAAGGTCGCGGCTGTGCTGAACCAGAAGTGAGCGGAGATGGAAAAGTTATTATCACAAAATGGTTCGACAATAAAGGAGTTTACTTAGCTTCCAACTTTGTGGGAATTGGCATCAAAGACAAAGTAGAACGATACGAGAAAAAAGAAAAGCGGTATTTTGAGAAAGTGAAAGGGTTAATGCTGAAAAGCGGATCTGATATATCAAACGTGCTGGAATGAGAGTTAAAATCCTAGCATAAGCAACGGAGTGGGTCGTGCAATTCAAAATTACTTTTACAAGCTTTCAGAAATAGGGGGCAAAAGTGTCTTGATACCCGGGAGGGAACATTAAGGCTAACTTCGCCAAGAAGAAGCGGACTTGAAATTGAGCCTGTTAGTAATTTAACTATAAAAATCGTACCAAGCATTTGCCTGCGGCTGGAAAGTGTAGGAAGATTAATAAGTTTTAATCGGCTCGTATAAGGTGGAAGGTTATATTGAGAATCCCAACGGAAATTTCTTAAAGCAAAAAGTAGGAATGGTTTTTGAATTGATTCTATCTTGTCTGAGTAAATTTGATACCTTGGATTCCAAACCACCGAACCGTATTCCAGAATTGGCCTAACTAATGTTGTAAACAGGGTTTTAGTGATATAAGGGTCACAAAACTCTTTTGACCATCGTTTCACAAAAGCAAGTACACCTTTAGCCTTGTTTACTGTCACATTAATATGAAGATTAAAATTAAGCTTAGGATCCATTGTGATACCAAGGTCCACAAAATTGTATACCGGTTCCAGGTTATGGTTACCTATTGTATAAGAAGCGGGATGAACAGCTCTTCGCGAGAAGCTCATTACTTTACATTTCTTAAGATTTATAGGCATAAGATTTACTTGACACCAGTAAGCCATGCTGTCTAAGTCTGATTGTAGCAAAGACCTTTCTTTAATTGAATCGTACGATTTATAAAGCTTTACATCATCTGCATACATTGAAATTTCGGAAAATTGTATATCTGTAGAAATATCGTTTATAAAAAGCAAGAACAGAACCGGGCCTAGGTGGCTACCTTGAGGGACTCCTGAAGTAACATCAATGACGTCAGAGATAGTATTTTTAAACATTACCATTTGTGATCTATCATAGAGGTATGAAGAGATCCAACGTACAAAATTAGGTGGAAGACCAAGAAGATCAAGTTTGTAGATGAGCAACGAGTGGCACACTTTGTCAAATGCTTTACTGAAGTGAGTATATATAACATCAACAGTTTTGCTTTCACTAAATGCTTTTGAGATATAGGATGTTAATTCAAGTAAATTTGTATAAGTTGATTTGCCCTTGCAAAATCCATGTTGACTATATGAAATGCTAGAAGAGATAGAATGCGTCAACTGATTTGTTATAATTGCTTCAAATAATTTAGGAATTGCAGAAAGCTTAGCTGTTCCCCGGTAGTTCTCCACTGAAGATCTGCTACCGCTTTTATGTAACGGGGTTATGAACCATAACTGTGTTTGCTCTTCAGGAACATACATGCGTTTAGGCACATGCTTTTCAAATAATTTATGTAAAGTCAAGTTAAAAAGTGCAACGCTTTGTTCAATATTTTCTTTAAATGCAGGCCACGATAATTTAGACAGTTCTTTGTTAAGCATTTTAAAGTTGGCTTTCGAAAAATCAAAGCGAATATTTGGTTCGTATGCTTGGGTTCTGCAATTTTGACCTTCACTTATAACTTCGTAAGATACCTCCATAGCAGGGTGGTAGACATCTTCGGGCAAAACTAGTGGATCACACTTATTTACAACGGACTTAGATGCATCATCAACATAAACAAGATCTAATACTTTACCAAACTTATTGTGAAGTACATTAACCTGAGTTAGGCAGAGTTCAGCCATCTCCTCTAAAAATACGTTGTTGCACGCACTAGACGTGAAAGGTACGATATCATTGTCAATGATGTTCCATGATATGCTTGGTAAATTAAATCACCCAACACAATCATTGAGTCAGAGGGTTTAGTCAGTAAATTAACTGATTTCAGTAAAGAGATGAGTCGTAAATATACCAATGTGTCAGATCGGGGAGGGATATAGCATAGAGCTAAGTAAATAGACCCTTTTCCAGCCTGTACACTAATGCAGTTGAACTCTACTGAATCAATGTGTGGAAGACTAACTTCTTCAGATGGTATTGAAGAGTCTACAGCGAAGAGTACGCCACCGCCGAGGACAGCCCCCCTATCTTGTCTATAGATATGATAATTATTTGGAAGAATCTCTGAATTAAAAATGTGAGGTTTCAGCCAAGTTTCAGTAAAAGAAAGAATATTATAATTACATTAAAGGCCTTTAAAGTATAAGTTCGTTAATTTAGTACAGTCTTACATTTTGGTAATAAATACTTAAAGCAGATTTAATAATTAGTTTTTTGATTCAGTGTTATGACGGGGAATATTAGCTAAGTTATTTACTTTTTTGGGCCTATATTCGAATTCACGAACGAAAGCTCCGGGGGGCCAAAAAGAACTACTAAGCAGCGCATTAAAATTATCTAAATTTACGTCAATTTTAAATGAAGCAATATTTCTTTCGTAATTAAAATTAAATTTTCTGATGCTTAAGTCGACAGTTGTAATTTTTGATGAGATGTAAAGCTTTATATCGTCTTCGGTAGTGTCTCTCGAAAATCTAGAAACAAAGATTGACTTCTTTGGCGGAACCACAACTAGTTTCCTTGTATCAGACTGGAGTACCGGCGGAGGGGGTTGAGTTACTGCGTTAGTAGTTGAGGATAGGGAAGGCGGTGGAGGCTTTGAAGATGATGCCACCACTTCACGGAGAGGATAAATTAATTAAATCCGTCGGAAGATTATTCTGACGTGCACCGGCAGTAATTTCCTTAGATGGACTATGAAGACGCTTACGTTTAGACACACGGATATCCTTAACAGATTGCAAGGTATCTAAGCATTTTAACGATTTAAACATATTTCATAATGCTTAAGTTTTTCTGTCAGTACCGACAATTCTCTTCCTACTTCTGTAAAACCATTTCTGGTTTGCCTAAATAGCTTGAAAAGATCAACTTCGGTTGACCTGCACTTTACGCAAGACCAGCGAAGGCCCTTGCCATCATTAATAGCGTCCAGAATTCTTCCTGTCAAACCAGCACATTTCAGATGGTAAATACCATCACACAGCCAGCACGATAAGTAGCGTTCAGAATCGCTTTTAATTTGGCAAGTATCAAGATCGCACTTCATATTGAAAGATTTATGTAATACACTCGTTAATAAAAGACAAACAAAATAAATTATAACAATTAAGGAGCTGATGTAAATAGCTTTAAATAAATGTAGCGAACAGTTTGAGTATCACTGTAACCATGACACTTAATAAACGCAATACAAAGAGCTGTGACAAGAATTACTAGAAAAAGTAAACAAAAAGAGTAGAACAAATGTGCAAAAACAAAATGAATTCAGTTAACTACAAAGGATACAACAACAATGATAGCAACAAATGACTCGGCAAAATTAGAATGTATGCTAGTGAAGTTTAATTTAATTTACTTTAATATAAAACCAACAACTTTCACTTAGCTTCAATTTTTCACACTATGATGCTCATAAGCACTTTTTATCACTACTTTAACACAGAATTAGCACAATGAACTTAGCAAGTAGAAAGCCAAAATTAGAGCATAATAAAGTACAACCTCACAGCTTGATGTTTGCTTAATAAATACCCGCGCGTCCCAATTTCATGTTTTGATCGATTTTGATTGGCAAAATTAAATTATCCGCATCACAAATAAAGTTTATTTTTCATTTGGTGGACAAATCGAACCACAAAATAAAGAAAGGTGTTATCTGAAAAAGGTGTTCAGCCCGTCTTCTTCTGCAACACAGAAAAGAGAATTCTACTTAGTGAGGGTTTAATCCCTCTGCGAGGCCGAAGGCCACATACGCAGAAAGCTGTTCTCTTCACAAGGTGTTTGGTGTTTGATCGCGGCCGGCTACGCAGATAGGTGTTCTCTGCAAAAGGTGTTCAGCCCCTCTTCTTCGGCAACACAGAAAGGAGTATTCTACTTATTTAGTGAGGGTTATAATCCCTAAGCGCGGCCGAAGGCCGCCTACGCAGAAGAGTGTTCTATATGGGGGATGGAATTTTGACCGCCAAACAAATAAGAAGGCGGCCTTATCATTTTTTGATCGCGGCCTAACTTTCACTTGCCAAAATGAATTATTTGCGCGCGGCTTAATTTCATTATTCGATCGCGGCCTAATTTAACTTGTTAAAATGAATTATGCCCGATTGGTCTAATTTCATTTTTTGATCGCGGCCTAATTTCACTTGGCAAAATAAATTAGCCCGCACGGCCTCATTTCATTTTTGGATCGCGGTTTTAATACACGCGGCCATAATTGCCGTAGCCTGATTCGACCTGTCTGTTACGTGACGGTTTTTCTTTTTTTTTTCTAAAGCATATAAACTAAGTTTAAAGTGTTTGCATATAATCAAAGACTAATTTTCAAACTATTAAATACTTCACGTGTCTTGCTAACGTATTTAAAACTATACTTACGTAACAATGGAATGCTCCACTACCAGAATATCTACAAAGCTATATATCGTCGCTACCATGTCAAACTATCGAATGTGGAAATGGATATTTTTCAGGAGAGCAAAAAACGGCTGTAAAAAGTGTTGGTTGGCATTAGGAAAAATTGTGGGATTCGATACTTTGGTACATCCGGTATCCTCTTCTTCTAAGAAGACTAGCAATTGGAAGATTTGCTAACTTGCGTATCAGTCTAAACCAGTATTGCCAGTAACAGGTTTAATAAAATCCCGTTCAAATATAACCTAAATCCCGTTTTATACTGAAGTTATAATAGAAATCCCGCGCTAATGTATCTATTATACATAAAATGTTTTCGGATGAATAAACACTAGCGTGTACATACATAGATATGCAATATAGATAGGAATTATACGGGCCAT